CTACCCTCCCTTCTTCTCCAACCTAATTTTTTTCATTTTGTTTCCAGCTTGATCACTCTGCTGAAACTGCTGAATTGAGAAGCTGGGGTTTATTGTTTTTTGGGTGGATTCCACTTAGTGTGTGTGCCAGCTAACAGTTAGAAGATATGTAATGTCTAATACCAACAGGAATCTTGAAACCCTTTGCTTGGTGTAAACCAGCCTTTAGAACATCTAACCACAACTTTAATTTGGAATCTGTAAGTAAAAGGAAGGCAAAGTGCGGCATCTTAAGGAGTAAGTTTATCTTTTATGCTGTAGGGATGTTTTTAAGCAGATAATTATGCCAAGAGTCAATTCTAGTCTAAGAAGCCCAGTGATGTCCATGACAGTATTAAGGAGAAAGAATATGTATGGAAAGAGTTTAGAGACAGAACCAGAGATTGTTGCAGTCAGAGACCTGCTTTACGCTTAGTAGGAAAGGATGCCATTAAATCAATTTGAGTAGTTTCAGAATTTCTGGTGGTCAAGTCAAACAATTTCACATAGTTTTCAAACGATGGTAAACACTCAGATTTTTTCTTCCACATTATTTGGAGTATTTAGAAGGAATTTTAATAATAAATTCTATTAACAGTAGCTCTGTGTCAGTGAGTTAAGATTTAAATAGACTGCATAAACTTTATTTTAAGTACTTCAGAGTATCTTCATTCTTTTTGCCCTTAAAAAATATATACTTTTGTCAATAATCCATATTTTAATAAATCCTTTTTTTTATGAATGCCTGTGCTGGACAGTGGAAATTTAATGTTACCAATGCTTTTTGTCAAGCACTCACAATATGTTTAAGTGTTCAAAAACATTCAGCAATAAAATTCTGCTGATATCTATGCTCTAATTTGTGTTCTTTTAAGGAGATATTTCCTCAGTAATTCCTTCATTAATATTTAGAGGTCCCTGGAAGGCAGACCAACAAGAGCTTTGTTAATAATAATCTCTGTTAATTTAAAAGACTTATGAGAGAAATTAACTTTGAGAACACTTAATTCTGTGAATGAAGATCATTATAAACTGCCATTCATGTTTTTCTGGTTCAAATATCTCTTGGTAACTTACAGGAATATGAGCACTAGACAGCTGAAGTAGTTCAAGCTCTGTAGCAGCAAAATGTTATAACCTTGATAGAAATAAATACCTATAGTAACTAGCAAAATAAAATATACTATACAACATAATAAGATATGTTTGCTTTACTTACCTTGCTTATCTAAAAGCCTTGACTTTTTGCAGTGGTAAGCAAACTCCTGTTCACAGTGCTCTGCATGATTAATTGTAGCCTGAAGCTGGTCTAGGCTGGCAGAATACTTGAAAAACACAGTGTGGGGGTTCTCACGATTAGCGGTTTTGACTCTGCTTAGGTTGGTGTTGTTATGCTGCATAATTGTCCATGTTGCATCTTTCAAAACACATGTAAAAAGTAATAAAGAATGAGAAATAGCTGCATAAATTGCTAATGGAAAGAGAATGTTTAACGAAATTAACCAAACTTTAAGGTGACTTCTTTGATCACAAAAAGTGCTTTTGGCATTACAAACAGAGACACAAGTCTGTACATTATCATACTATGACTGGAACAGGTATTGAGCTTGTTATGATTATTGAGTAAGAAAAGCATAAGTGAAAACATCTAAATAATGGTCTCTACAATAAGATACATTTTACTTGATAAATTGCAATCAATGAATAAAAGGAAATAATGTTTATTATTGCTACTTTTTTGCCTGTTTTTTTATATAAAATAACAGTAAATTCTAGTCTACATTCCAATTACATTACAACTGTAATTTAAATTAATTTATTCTGTGTGAGAAAATGGCCTACATACTTTTTCTAATATATAAAGAAGCAAAAGCAGCTTGCAAATACCACATTCACTATAAAACTCAGATTACATGAAGGTGAGTTATCCTAGCCATTTAAAATCAAGTTGTAGTAATTATGTGAAGTACTATTCAAACCTTGTATTTAGTCAAGAACTAAGAAGCACAGTTTCCAAAGGTCAATAGAAAGTTTCTTCCAAACATATGTCATGATATGGATTTATGGCAACCACCATGGTAATTGCTACTTGATTTGGCACTGTAACATGGTGAATACCAGTTCAGAACTGAGAGTTGAATTTCCCTGAAAAACATATACTGCTCTTCAGTCAGCTTTTGATTCAGATACTGCTGGGTATGTCAGCTATGTACTTCACTGTATTGTGTAGACAGACTATGATTCATATCAACTGCAGCATGCAAAATACTTCCAAATTATTTACTCCAGAAACAATTAAACTGTCTTCAAGATTGCTTTTTCCACAAATCACTAGTAAATACTCAGCACTCCAAATATTATTTTTAGAAAAACATGTTCTCAAGAAATGCTCCTGTAATAAAAGAGCAGAAAATACTTGCATATAAATATACATATAATTCACGTGGTTGATCAATAAACAATATATTGCATGTTTATAAAAGGTATGTGCTAAGATGTAAAGTCTGCTGTGAAACAGACTTTCTTCAACTTGGAGCCATGTTGCTTACACTAAGGAACAAAGCAGTTCAACAGTTTCACAGTTATCTTGATATTCTTTCATTAAAATTCATCTTTTACTGTCCTACAGCAATGATAGAATGCATTTTTAATTGTTAAAGCTTACTACAATGCAAAATCACACAGATCAAAACCTAAACTTGGAATTACAATATTTATATGAAAGCATTACTTTAAAAGCTACTAGAGATAATGGACTAATTATTGTATATTTACTTTGAGACTAGAAAAATAATTTTTTTGTACAGTGAATCACAGGAAGAATAAAACTGGCAGGTACAATAACACAGGAATGCATTGCTCACTCTGTCCTATTCTTTGCATACAAGGAAATCTAACATTAGTGTCCTGGTTTCAGCTGGGATAGAGTTAATTTTCTTCCTAGTAGCAGGCACAGTGTCCTATTTTGGTTTTAGTCAGAGAATGCTGTTGATAACACACCAATGTTTTAGTTGTTGCTCAGTAGCACTTACCCTGATCTAGGACTTTTCAGTCTCTCATGCTCTTCCAGTGAGGAGGGGCACAAGAAGCTGAGAGAGAGCAAAGACAGGACACCTGACCCAAACTAGCCACAAGGATATCGTGTACCACAGGACATCATGCCCAGTGTATAAACTGGGGGGGAGTTACACAGAAGGGATGGATCGTTGCTCAGGCTGGGCTGGGTATTGGTCAGTGGGTGGTGAGCAATTGTATTGTGCATCACTTGTGTCTATTGTTTGGTTTTTTTCTTTACACTTTTTTATATTCTCTCTCCTTGTTATTTCCCTTATCATTGTTATTAATAGTAGTCTTAGTATACTGTACTTCAGTTATTAAAGTGTTCTTATCTCAGTCTCCGAGTTTTACACTGTCTCAATTCTCTTCCCCATCCTGCCCAAGGAGGGAGAAAGGAGTAGAAGGTAAGCGAATGGCTATGTGGTATAGTTGCTGGCTGTTTTTAAACCATTACAACCAGATGCTCTGCTTAGAAGTACAGAGATTACTCCCTTCATGTTTTTTGAAATATAAATTGATCCAAATATATGTAGTTGATAAAGGCTCATGTGATTTTGCTGTTTTGTACATTTACTATACCTCCTTATGTATGAATAGGAAAGCACTGAGCTTACTCTGTTTCAGCTTCCAGTCACAAAGCCTATAACAATCTGACTCCCATGACTAAAATCGACTCAAGGTAGGGCTGAGCAGGCTCCTTGTTAAAGCCAGTCTGGGTCAGGTGAGTTGAGACTCATCTTCACTGTATTCTTGTATCTTGATGCCCAATGTAATTTGAGTACATATAAGAAATAATATTTTTTTCTATCATGTAGTATTGATGATAATATTTCTTATGTTCTAAAAGAAGTATTTTCAACTATATTAAAAAAAAATACAACAAAGTTGTATTTTATTGTATCCCATTAGCTTCCATTGGGCTACACATGGCTGACATTATAAGATATTTATGAAGAGGAAAGAACTCATGGTCACTTAAAGGACAAGTATTCATCAGAAAATTTAAATGAAAAATCAAGGTGAGATCACTATTCAAAATATGCTGTATTACGGGAGTCTATACTCCTTTTTATTATTACTTTATTATTATATTAGTATAACTTTTTAGTTATATTGTTATTACTACTAGCTTTTGATCAAATTATAAAATTTCATTAAGTACACACTCATGGTGTCAAAAAGCAGATGGCAAACAGGTTTATTTTTTTTACGTACACACATACACAGACAAAAATGTATCCAAATGCTATACTGACATAAAAATTAAGACAAACAACTCAGCTATCAGACTTATCATCACACTTGCAAATTTACAAAAGGAAGAAAAGGTCACTGCAGAATTTGGTCATCATATCTGGCAGTGTGAACTGCAGTCTTTTCATTCTGAAAATGACTTCCAAGAATACAACCAGAGAAAGGCACCTCCCTCCCATCTGCCTGAAAATAGAGCTCCATGAATGTCAAAGACAAAGCAGTGCTGTAAGAAATGTGGACATCTGCCTTCCCTGCCTCTGCTGGGAAAAGTGAATACCAGTCATGATGAAACTGGGAACAAAACAAATATGGAAGATTCATCCTGTCAGGTTGCATCTCAAGATGAAGAACTGATCAATGAGGTTTGCTTAATGTGGTGAATAAAAATGATTGAGGAGAACAGTAACAGCTGTTCATGGACACACAAGGATAAATCAGACACTACACTGTACCTTAGAGGGTTATACCCACTGAAAAAAAACCAAAACCAAAACCAAAAAAAAATCCACAGAGTCATCTTTCTGCTATGATTCTTTGATCTCTTTCAGTCTCATAGGGCACTAGCATATTTCTTCTTAAAGGCATGTGCCAATCTGAAATGTGCCCACCATGAGCTAGCACAGTTCACTATAGAAGTCTAAGTCAAGGCCTGACATGGTGAGAGCAGTTAAATTGCACAGACTGATTGAAATGATGAGAATTATATTATAATAAGTATTCTTTAGATCATTGTGAAAAACAGCCAATGCCACTGGCAGGAGGGTCCTGCCAATTCCTAAATATATAGATGTGACTACAAATTGTTTACAAATCAATATAAAAGCTTCTGATATCATTCCTAAGTCAAGTTCTTAACACTTAGGATGTAACTAAATAATTCAAGTATAGCTTATTTATGTAGTTATTCAAACAGTTATAACTGTGTAAAAATATATTTTTGTCACATAAAACAATGAAGTCTTTTCATCATCATGGCTGGAAAGCAATTCAAATAAATAGAAGCTAGGCAAAAAGAAGAGGAAACAGACACAAATAGAATACTAATTTCAAAAAACCATTTAAAAGTAATCTTCATTGAAAGGAAATATACCAGTAGGCATTCATAGACAACTGGTTTGTTATATAACATACAGACAAAAAACTCTGATATCTAAACATTCTAGTGATGTGAATGGTGTTTCAAAGAGCAGAAAAGGAGGCAAAGTGCCTGAAAGTGAGGTTGTGAGAGTCCCAATGGTTACATTTCCATTCTCCAAAAGATCTATTTGCAATTTAAAAAAATTAATCTTAATGTCTATACTCCTCATAACAATGGCCAGTTCTGAATTTCATTTTTTCAGAAGGCTACCTGGAAAAATCAGTATTTTTCTCATAAAATATAGCTTATTTCTCATTCTCTTAAATGTTCTCAAGAAGCTGTACCTTCAGTGAAAACAAACCTGCTCCCCAAAAGTGAACTAGTATGACATGGTCTCCATACAGAACAAGTCTCATTTACGCGAAACACAACAGAAACGCAGTGTTAGATTCACAGCCCGTATCCTGTTATTAGTCTAATTTCTCAGCCTAATTCTTTGCTAAGTATTCTGAGCTAAGGAGTCACCTTCATTTTGTTGTGTATGTATACATTAAACTTAAGAGGTACAGAGGCTTATTACTTGATAACTCGTGTTTCAATATAATGAGCATGCATACAGACCCAGCTGCAAGTTAAGAAAGTTTATCACCTCACCTGTCATATTACAGTATACAAGAAACGGTCCCAATGGGCCACTTCCATCTGAATCAATATTGTAAAAGCCTGAAGTGTTGCCTCTGTGCTTATAGGCTTCACATGATTGCTCATAGATGGCTGTAAAAGAACAAATTCCATCACAAATGTAATGACATAATTTTTCATTTTAGTCGAGGAATTTAGAAAAAAAGCGTGTGGAGCCTGTCAATGGGGAAAAGAAGTTGTGTGTATTCACTGCTAAAGAATACAGAAGAAATCACATAACCAGGACTATATTTTCATTTGTTTCTGTAGAGAGCATTTAGTTTTATGTATTGAGATCACAAGGGGCATTTTCAAGCATTTTCTCCCTTATTTCAATCTGGAAACTTCAAAGACAAAACAGTGAGATGCAGGTGAGTAAATGGCTGTAAAACCTGAAAACTAATGTGAATGCCAAGTGTACGACTTAGATCTTTCTAACCAGATTTTGAGGAAACAAACACTAACTACATCAACTAAATCAAATTTTGTTGTTATTACATAAGACAGAAGGCAGGCAGTGTTTCTAGGTGTTCTGATTGTCTCCTGGCATATTTTTTTTTTGGCTTTCATACTTCTTATTTTCTTTCCTGTTTAAATAAAAGTGCATATGACTCATCAGACACTGCAGTAGAAGACCTAAATAAGCAAACACAAAATGAGAGCTCCTTGGTCCTATGTTATGTATACTTTGTATCAGCCAAAATGTAAAGAAAATTCTGTGATGACTTCTTTATGATCAAAAACCTGAGAAAAGGACTTATGAGTCCACATCTGTACTTAAACAGACAGGAAACACTGACAATAATGCCATAGTCAGACTTCATTAGCCCAACTTCTCCTTTAACCATTATAATACTTCCAGCAGTCATACTGTTCTGGTCTTTCTTTTCAAAATTAGACTGTGTGCTCTATCAGTTATTATCAAAACTTGAAAGCACTCTGCCAAAAAAAAAGACCTGTTAGATTCAGACAAAACAAATAATACTGAGTGCTATACAAGTAAAAACAGAACTCTATAACAATTATTAATATTCTAGAAGATTTTGATCTATATAAATTCAGTTTATTGAAATTAAAAAAAGAAAAAAGTACTAGTACAGTAATATTTTAAAAAATATCTGTGATTTCTGTATTTTTTGTTTGATGGTTACTAATATTATATGCAACACCTATGAGAAAAACAAACCATTCAGATTGCTAACTCTATGAAATATTCATAATGAACAAATTATGTAATTTTAAATTAAAATTTGATGGTTTCTTAAGAAAATAGTTTTAGATAAATTTAAGCATTATAAGAGAGATTCAATTATTCGATAATTGTTTTCAAGTAGTGCTTCAGATTTATTCTGTTTCTCAGAATACAGTTAAAGCAGTAAAAATGTAGAGCATTTCCTGTGAAGCTAGTTAAGTTACTTCCATTTTTTGTTTGTTTTGTTTTGTTTGTTAGTTGGGGGGGGTGGCATTTGTTGGATTTTTTTTTTTTTTGGAGGGGAGGTTGTTTTTTAAAATTTCTCCTAATCTAATTCCTGATTCAGCTAACCACATAAATACAGGTTATAGGCCTTAGCATGTGATTTATATGAATGTAGTCCCATTGTCCCTGGAAAAAAAAAAAAAATAAACTGTTGTAATGAATAATGATGAATTACACACATTTCTAAATGATTTGCTGATTCATAAAATGAAGATATATGGATGAAAGCGTATATTACTATCTCATGTAAATTTTGAAAAATGTGAAACAGAAACAGATAAACTTTAGAACTTTCAAGGAGTTTTTGCTGCTACATATTTTATACTCTCAATACCTTTCCTTGAACCAACTTGTGAATATTTACATGACTGAAAAATCTTCTAATATGAATGATCAGTACTAATGTATACTTTTTTTTGTGAAAAACGTTCAACCAGAAGTAAGGAACAGTCAGAAAACATCTTAGACTTACGATAGTGGCAAGTAGCTCCGTTGTATCCGGTATTGGCACAGTTGCAGTAGAAGTTGTTCCAGGACTGTGAGCACTCCCCACCATGTTCACAGTAATTAGGCAAACACCTAAAATGAGAAAAAAAAAATAAAAAAAGAGCATTTTCACTCTCTTTTCCATTTATTTACGTGTCACTAGTACTTACCAAGGGATGCAAAATCATGGAAAAGAAGTACAATAACATGAAGTCCTCAAGTTCATTGGGAAAGATGTTAATGTAATTACTAGAAAATTTAGAGGATTTCTCTTCATCTTCCCTGCTACCCCTATTGCCTATAATAAATATATTAATTATGGGATAAGCCTGTGAGAACAGAAATAAAGTGTAAGTTGCATAATTGCTACTTATTACCATTCAGCTATCTGCAATGCAGTACAGAAAAACTGGTGAAAGATTTACATGTTGATAATTCACTGGCAATTACTACAACTGATAGCATTTCTTCAACAAGTCACAACAAAACAGCACCACAATTATATTATTTTACAAACAATAGAAAATAATTTTTAAAAATCACAAAACAAATAAAATTTATGACAATACCCGGGAGCTGTTTCTTTTTCTAACATCATGATTACTTACTATTCTAGAAAGAGTAAAATGTTCAGTGCATCAGTTCTGTCACAAGAGGTAATTACCAATAAAGCAATTTTTTATTTCGGTGATATGAACAGAAACCTGAAGAATTCTGCTAGTTTTCTTCTGGATTTAGAATGATTGGCTGCAAAGAAAATTTGTCTGTAACTGCTTAATGGTTAAGACTGCAGCACTATACCTAGATATAAAATATAGCAGAAGATGAAAAAAACACCATATTTATCTTTTTATAAACACAACTGAAACTATACTGAAATAGAGTGGCGCACTTTAACTATTTTTTCATTAGTTTTTCACCTTAGAAATTAGTTAACATTCCAGTTGCAGTGAAAGCATATGTATATGCATGTGTATGTAATAGAGCTCAAAAACATAAAAAGGCTTAGTTGTGAACATTAAGCACAGGAAAAAGAAAAACAGGCCCACTAATATTCACATGATCTTAAAATACCTTTTAGTTCATTGAAGAAATCTTAGCATGGTATTAAATTAGCATTATAAGAAGTCCAGCAGTTCACAAAGTTGCCCTATGAATAATTCAGGAATTCAGGGCTTTTGTACACTTACTTCTCCTGGCTTTCAAAGAATTTTATCTTTCTTTCATGTTTATAAACAAAGATATGCAGAGGTTTTCATAGAAAAGAAGAATAAAAAAGAATAGCAGGTGAAGTGTACATAAAGTAAGTAAAGTGATATAGGTCACCTATTTTCAAGGAAATAAGTGATACTCTTGCAAATTAAAGAGCTGAACTTGTATCATACCTATTATCTCACTCGCAGAATGTATCTGTAGGACAAGTTTGTACATGATATATGTCTCAACGAGCTCTAGTTTGGAACATAAGGAATTTTAGGCACCGGTGTTATAATTGCTTTGATATTAAATACTTTGTTTGAAGCAATTTAGGAAACGTGTATAGTAATAATTCTTAGGATAAATGCTTTATTTTGCTTTCTACAGGTGTGACTAGTCATCAGTTATTCTGAATATACATCTACTTTAACTTAATTGCCATTTAGGTCTTTTGGTGAATCCCTCTGACCGCTGCTACCCTTGCATGTATTTCAGTCACAGTTTTTCTTGTCTTACTACTTTCTGATAAAGAGCACAATCTCCAAAGTGTGATTTACATGGTACTTACTTGTATTGACTTCCTGTCCGTATTAATTAATCATCCTAATCATGTTCACAAAATGAAAAGCTTAGATGAAATTGATGATGCTTGAAAAAACTTTAAGAGAAATTAAAACAATGTAGCATATATTTAAAATCTTTTATCATCAGATTTTGCATCTTCTCTCTGTTTCAGAATGTATATTAGAAAGTAACCACTTGCTATATGAAAGCAACCTGCTGCAACCCTACCCAAAGCAAGATTCAGAACAGTGTGTTCTCTAAGGAAATTAATCTTCTAACAAAAATACTTCTTATATTAGAAAATGTATTTCTAATACTTCATATGTAAAAGGTAATTTTTTGATTTCTTTACCATGTCTGCTTAAAACAGAAAAAAAGACAGCTGGTAAGTATTTACCACATATTATTTGATGGTATGCTTTTAAGAGTGTGACACCTGAAAATGGTATGTGATTTAAAACCAAGGTAGCAGGCTAATAATAATCATAAACTAAAATTCAAAGCAGAACAATAGTTTAGCACATGAATATACTTTTGACAAAAAGGGGGGAAAAAGAGAACTTTAGATGCCGAGTATCTGCTAAATACATTTTTGTGTACTATCATGGTCCCAAACTATGGCTAAAACAATCTGAAAGAATAAACAGTTTTTCTTTCTTTAGCCTTCAATTAAAAAAAAAAAAAAAAAAGAGAGAAGTATTTGAAAACTGCTACAGTGCCAGTGTTTCTTTGTTATTTTCTTTTCTTTTTTTTTTTTTTTTTTACATTAAAATAATTTATTCTGGTTTCTGTAAAACACACAGCTACTAGGACACCAAAAGTAGTAACACCTAGTAGGCAATCATATATTTCTGTTTAGAGCTTGATGTAATTATGGCAGATTCAGCTGGTATTCTCTCCTCAGACTAACTTTGTAAGGCATTTAGAATGACGTGTTATTTTGTCACTGGCTTATGTATAATTAGTAGTTATAAAATCAATATATAATAATAAAGGAGCTGAGAGAACAGATATTAAGAAGAAATATATGAAGAGAAATAATTGCATGCCCAAGAGGTATATGAGCAATGGAACAATATAAAGATACTACACAATGAAAAGGCTGTATGAAGGAGCATGGGGAGAGCAATGACTTATGTCCTGGTTTCAGCTGGGATAGAGTTAATTTTCTTCCTAGTAGCTAGCACAGTGCTATGTTTTGGCTTTAGTCTGAGAATATTGTTGATTGCACAAGGATGGTTTAGTTGTTGTTCAGTAGTGCTTTTCAGTCTCTCATGCTCTGCCAGTAAGGAAGGGCACAAGAAGCCGAGTTGGAAGCAGAAGCAGGACAGCTAACCTGAACTAGCCAAAGGGATATTCAGTATCACAGCGTAACATACCCGGTATATAAGCTGGGGGTGTTACCTAGAAAGGACTGATCACTGCTTGGGGCTGGGTATTGTTCACTGAGTGGTAAACTTCTGGGTTTTTTTTTTTTCTTTTTCTTGTTTTTATTTTTTATCTCTCTCCTTGTTATTTCCCTCAGTGGTAGTAGTAATATGTTGTAGTTTAGTTATTAAACTGGTTTTATCTCAAAACACAAGTTTTACATTCTTCAATTTTCCTCCCCATCCTGCCCAGAAAGGGGGAAAGAGGAAGGATGAGTGAGTGTCTGTGTGGTACTTAGTTGCCAGCTGATTTTAAACCATGACAACTAGAAGGAGTCATAATAACTTTAGTGTAAGAGCAGAAATTGAAAATGTATTTTAAATGTGTGTGTGTATATATATATATGAGATAAACAATTGGCTTAATAGATTTTTTCCATTTATTTACTCTGCATATAAATTCAGATGATTATGTAAAAAGTAATTTTTATTTGTGTTCATGCACTTCAAATGTGTAAAACTATTACATTTAGTGATTCATTCTTTTCCTACTACTAAAGCCACCAATAAAACCAGAATTTGGGTCAGACTTTATTATTTGGTATTTTAGATGAAAAATCTCCCATAAAGACTCCAAAACAAAGGAGTGGTTGATTTCTTTCAGCTGGAGGAGGGATATCCACCATCAGGAGCACAGTGGCAAAAACGCTGATTACTTTAGCTTTGGCAACCATAGACATGTCAAAATCATTGTAGGAAGCAAATATTTTCTCACAAGTGATATAATGCACAAGATATAGAATCGTAGAATCATAGAATGGTTAGGGTTGGAAAGGACCTTAAGATCATCTAGTTCCAACCCCCCTGCCATGGGCAGGGTGACCACACACTAAACCACCTCACGCAAGACTCCGTCCAACCTGGCCTTGAAGACTACCAGGGATGGAGCATTCACAGCTTCCTTGGGCAACCTGTTCAAGTGCCTCACCACCCTCACTGTAAAGAACTTCTTCCTTGTATCTAACCTGAACTTCCCTTTTTTAAGTTTGAACCTGTTACCCCTTGTCTTATCACTACAGTTCCTAATGAAGAGTCCCTCTCCAGCATGCTTGTAGGCCCCCTTCAGATGCTTGAAGGCTGCTCTGAGGTCTCCATGCAGCCTTCTCTTCTCCAGGCTGAACAGCCCCAACTTTCTCAGCCTGTCTTCATATGGGAGGTGCTCAAGCTCAAGCTACCTATCAGAAATTTTTTAATATATGTAAGGAATTTTAATGTGAAAAAGAAGAATGTATCTTATCTATTGGGATTTATCATGAGATGTAGAATTTGTTTAATAAAAAGACACATGAAGCTGCAGATGTCAAATGCAATGTGACTGTGTGAGGAAAGTGAAAAGAAACAGTCCTGAATCAAGCTGGCACAAGACCAGGAAAGCTTTTCAAAAACAGTCTATTCTGAAATAAAAGGTAATAACTGTAATGAAGTTAATAAAAATGGGTGGATTAATTTTCTATTTGTGTAAGTTAGGAAGACATACGGTAAGCATTCTGAGAGCTTAAAACTGAATGTGGAAGAGCTAGTGTTAGAAAGCTGCAATTGTCAAGATAAAAGACACAAATTAATGTTATCAAATCTTAGAGAAAACAAAACCAACCAACCAAAAACTTTTTATAAAGACTTTTCTTTTTTCCTTTTGATATCCACACATATTTTGATGAACTATGAGAGTATCAAACTCAAAAAAAAAAAAAAAAAGGCTTAATACAGTGACAGAAAGTAATAAAAACACTTTGAAAAAGACTATGGCTGGGAAATCTAAGTGGCTTACAGAAGTCCATAATAAAAAAAAAAGTGGATGGCAGAGGTATTGACATGAAATAAGGATGGTAACTGTCTTCTTATGCAATAAAAATTCAGCAAGATAAAAATATAAGTAAATCAGACCCATTTGATGCACTGCTTAAAAAAAAAAATAGACATTTATTTATCACATTTGGAATATTGTAAATAATGCTGGATTTCTATATATTGACATTTTACACTCATAATCTTGCTTACATCTCTTTTGTTTTGATTAAGAACATACAGATATCCACATTACAATTTTTTTTTACTTGATTTTGTTCCTGATTCTGTCTCTATACTACAAACAAAAAAAGCAAGCAGTGTAATGGAAGTTGAGTAAGTTCAATTCCAGAGTTGAAAAAATAACTTTAATTGCTTTAAAGCTCTAAATGCTTTAGAAGCTGGAAGGAAATGTCATGAAGTCTATCAGAGAGGAGAAGGAGGTGGTAAAAGACGTTTGAAAAGTGAGATGAGTCAAAAGGAGTAGGGTGCAAGAAGCTAAAAAGAAATGTAAATGTATGTTGCATCCCAAATACCTTTTCCTAACGTGTCATATGGTAATGTTTTGACTGAGGCCAAACTGTTTTGTTGTGTTTATCACACTTTCTGCCTATGGCAAAGTCAGGATTAACCCAGCAAGGGAAAAAATAGCACAAAGAATTAGATATATGCAACCGTATATATTCTTAAAACATAATAGATGTAGAAACATCAGTGAGAATACACATTAAAACCTAATTGAAAGGATCACATTGTAGGCAGATTTTTTACCTGCCTTTTGGAGTTTTCTCTCTGTAAACTTTTATGAACAATTAGGCAAAGAACTAGTATTATTTTTGTCTTTGATCTACAAGACATTGTGAATTTCTTCAAAGTAATAGTCTTGATAGATGTACACTGTGTTAGCTGTATTAATGGAAAATAGGTCACAGAAATATGTCTGTGTGACTGAACATGAAATTTGTTATGGTATTGAAGAAGATGTCATAGAGTCAACTAGATTGGAAAAGACCTGTAAGATCATCAAGTCTAGCTGTCAGCCCAGGACTGCCAAGTCCAACACTAAACCATGTCACTAGGGGCCTTGCCTACATGGTTTTTGAACGTTCCTAGGGATACTGATTTCACTACTTCCCTTGGAAGCCTGTTCTGATGCCTGACCACCCGTTTAGTAAAGAAATTTTTCCTAATATCCAATCTAAATCTTCCCTGGTGCAGCTTGAGGCGGTTACCTCTTCTTCTCTCACTAGTTACTTGGGAGAAAAGACCGAAACCCATCTCTTTCTATCCTTCTTTCAGGTAGCTTTAGAGGAGTCCCCCCTGAGCCTTCTCTTCTCCAGACTAAACACCCCCAGTTTCCTCAGCTGTTCCTCATCAGACTTGTGCTCCAGAACCTTCACCAGCTTCACTGGCCTTCTCTGGACACTGCAGCAACAAAGTATCTCTCTTGGTAGCCAGGGTCTCAGAACTGAACACAGGATTCAAAGTGCTGCCCCACCACTGCCAAGTACAGGGAGATGATCACTGTCTTGGTCATTTCTGATACAGGCCAGGATGTTGTTGGCTTTCTTGGCTGCCTGGGCACAAGCTGGCTCATGTTCAGCTCTGTCAATCAGCGCCCCCAGGTCCTTTTCCACAAAGCAGCTTTCCAGCCACACTTCCCCTAGCCTGTAGCTTTGCATGGGATTGCTGTGGACCATGTGCAGGACCGAGAACTTTGCTTTGTTGAACCTCATGCAATTGGCCAGAACTTACTGGTCGAGCCTGTCCAGATCCCTCTGCAAAGCCTTCCTCCCCTCCAGCAGATCAACACTCCAATCCCAGGGTCTGTCTGAACTGGTTTCCCCAAGAAACCCTATTTTTTGAAGTCTTATAATTCAAAGGCCAGCCTTTTTGAGATAAAATGGCAACTTTTGAGGACTAGAAATTTAGGGGGTAGGGGAGAAGTGATTAAAAACACAAGTACATCTTTCCCCTGCCTGTTTTGTTTCTTTAGTGTATCCTTTCAGCTTGGTCCAAGGCAACCTTTTCTGGAATAAAGCAGACTTTGCACAAATGCCTGTGTCTGCACTCTTCTGAATCTACAGCAGACAACTTCTCCTCCTGTTTTCATTTGCCTGTCTGCTCCTTCTCTTATCAGCAGCCTCTGCCATTCTGCAACACCCATTTTGGATCATTGTCTGCCTTCTCCATCTTGAAATCCAGCAATGTCTCTGTCAAGCATTTCAATTTCAAGGAAGGTACATTGTCTTTCCTTCCTGCAGAGGGGGGCCCTTCAACTAGTCACACTCTTTCGGATCATAGAATTATAAAATAGTTAGGGTTGGAAAGGACCTTAAGATCACCTAGTTCCAACCTCCCTGCCATGGATAGATGCTAATACCATCTATTGCAAGTTATGAGCTTAGTTCTGACCGTAGTCTAAAGAAGATTGCTCACTCACTGTGATGTATACTATCTACCGTGTTTCTGGATGGGTAGAATATACAAAACAGCAATAACCTGTAAACAACACAGCATTTCAAAGGGTGAACGGGACTACCTGTCACAGAAGGGGGTTTGTCTATAGCTTTACTTGAAAAGAATATAAGATATTTAAAATTTGTCAGAAGTATCAAATAATTTTAACCCCTGTTACTTTAATTCTTTTCACAGTGCATGGAAATCTAATTGCTGTGCTATGTTTACTGAGTTTATTCTATTCTGGAACTCTTATAGAAGAAGCAGTATACCATTTTACAAATGTTCTGTCTTTTGTCATTAATTCAGTATTGGAAACAAAACATTCAAATAAATAAATATTGAGTAAATATTATTTTCTTACCTGTCTATAATGTCACATAAATCTATCTGAAGGTCACTGAAATTGCCAAAAACATTTTGCTGAACTGAGATCATATCCACTGCTTTGTTATCAATGGAAATAAGTCGCATGCATCCTTGAAAGCCACCAAATGAGGTATTACATTCAGAAATGTTTCCAGTGGTAGGGCAGCCTGAAAGAAGCATAAGACCTGGAGCTGAAAAAAATATTTTATTTAAAGATTTATATATTCCAAAAGTAGACTGAACTATGATAATCTCCAGGTATTATGAAATTTGTGGGTGGAAGACTTTAGCCAGAAGCTCTTCTTATTAGGTATGGTGGTACAACTGTAAGAAAATGCTTCTGTGCAGTCTTACTGTTTTTAAAGTATATGCAAAAGCATCACTAAAGCTTTCAGTACAGGATAACTCAAGCAGAAGTTCCAAAGCAATGAATGGAATCAAGATCTGAACAGATTGACTGACTGACCTTAGTCACAAAATTTTAGTTTACAAGATGCAAATGATGTGGAGCTAACTAAAGTCAAATAAGACAAAAAAAATAGCTACTAAGTACAGTTATTTTAATTTATCAAGATGTCCATAAGATTCCAGGAAGTACTGAAAAAAATTTCTTGATACAGGTCATCAATGATTCAACTAGGAGTGATCCTCTGTTGGACCTGCTACTCCTATGTAAGGAAGAAATGGTTGAAAATCTGAAAGCCAAAGACAGCCTTGGTTGCAGCAAACATGAGACTGTAAAGCTTATACACAGAGAAGAAAGCAAGAAAAAAAAAGTAGAATTACAACCCTCGACTTCAGAGGAGCCAGTTTTGGTCTGTTCAAGACCTGCTTTGAGGATCCCATTAGAAATTGCTTTGGAGAGCAAAAGTGCTGGATATTTTTTCAATAAAAAACTCTTCAGAGAATAAGAAAAGTCAATAGTGATATCAAAATAGTTAAAAAAGTGTGTCAGAAGGCAAACATGGAGTTCCTGAATACGTGAGGGCAGGGGACCTAGTGACAAGGTTCTTGTGAAGAACTAGTTTGTGCAAGGACTTCTTTCTTAATTTTCACTGGTAAAACTAATCCTTAGTTTTCTAATGGTCTAGCAGAGCATGAAGAAGAGACACAGTACCAACAATGAAGGAGAAAAGAGTCCAGGGGGCACCTGCAGGAGCTAGCCAATGTCATTTGAACAACTGCCATTATCATTGTGAAGCCATTATAATTCTAATCCTCAAAAGGGCCTGGCCATTTGGTGAACTTCTTGATAACTGGAAAACGCAGATGTTACACTCATCTTCAAGAAAGGCAAGAAGGAGGGAACACTAAACTAGAGGTCACTCATCCTTACAGCAGTCCTTGGCAAGTTCATGGAGCAAAGCCTTTTAGGGGCCATTTCTTAAACACGTGAAGGACACGAAGGTATCTGGGTAACTTTAGCTTCAAAACTAAATAATGCTGCACCAAGCTCTTTGTTTAATTTGCTGAGCTGATGGGCACTGAATACAAAAGAGCAGTGAACACTGCACACCATGACTGCAGCAAAGCCCCTAACAGTTTTCTATAGTCTCCCTATCAGCAGATTGGTGATATATGGGTGGGATAAGTGGGCAACTGGTGATGCAAAGTCCTGCTTCTCATCAGTGAACAGAAGGTCCTTCAGATATCAGTACTGAAAGCTATTCAGTTAAATGTCTTCATTAATGACCTGGATGATAGGAAAGA